CCACTTCTGTAGAAACTACTACCCTGGGCACAACTTCTATAGAAACTACAACCCTTGGCACCACTTCTTCAGAAACTAGTACCCTTGGCACCACTTTTGTAGAAACTACTACCCTTGAAACCACTTCTGCAGTACCCACTTCTGCAGAAACTACTACCCTTGGCACCACTTTTGTAGAAACTACTACCCTTGAAACCACTTCTGCAGTACCCACTTCTGCAGAAACTACTACCCTTGGCACCACTTTTGTAGAAACTACTACCCTTGAAACCACTTCTGCAGTACCCACTTCTGCAGAAACTACTACCCTTGGCACCACTTTTGTAGAAACTACTACCCTTGAAACCACTTCTGCAGTACCCACTTCTGCAGAAACTACTACCCTGGGTACAACTTCTGCAGAAACTAGTACCCTGGGTACAACTTCTGCAGAAACTAGTACTGTTGAAACCACTTCTGTAGAAACTACTACCCTTGAAACCACTACTGCAGGACCCACTTCTGTGGAAACTACTACCCCAGGCATAACTTCTGCAGAAACTAGTGCCCTTGGAACCACTTCTGCAGAAACTGCCATCATTGGCACCACTTCTGTAGAAACTACTACCCTGGAAACCACTGCTGCAGGACCCACTTCTGTGGAAACTACTACCCTAGGCATAACTTCTGCAGAAACTATTACTTGGCACCACTTTTGCAGAAATTAGTACCCTTGGAACCGCTTCTGTAGAAACTGATATTCTAGAAACCACTTCGGCAGGACCCACTTCCGTAGAAACTACTACACTTGAAACCACTTCTGCAGTACCCACTTCTGTGGAAACTACTACCCCAGGCATATCTTCTGCAGAAACTAGTACCCTTGGAACCACTTCTGTAGAAACAACTACCCTTGAAAGCGCTTCTGCAGAAACTACTACCCTTGGCACCTCTTCAGAAACTAGTACCCTTGGCACCACTTTTGTAAAAGCTACTACCCTGGAAACCAGTTCTGCAGAAACTACTACACTTTTTGCCGCTTCTGTTGAATCTACCGCTCTGGGCACCACTTCTGTAGAAACTACTACCCTGGAAACCACATATGCAGGACCAATTTCTGTGGAAAGTACTACCCTTGGCACCACTTCTGTAGAATCTACTACCCTTGGTACCACTTCTGCTGAGACTACTACCCTTGGCACCACTTCTGCAGAGACTACTACCCTTGGCACCACTTCTGCAGAGACTACTACCCTTGGCACCACTTCTGTAGAAACTACTACCTCTGGCACCACGCACCACTTCTGCAGAGACTACCCTTGGCACCTCTTCTGCAGAAACTAGTACCCTTGGCACCACTTCTGTAGAAATAACTACCCTGGAAGCCACTTCTGTAGAAATAACTACCCTGGAAGCCACTTCTACAGAACCCACTTCTGCAGAAACTAGTACCCTTGGCACCTCTTCTGCAGAAACTACTACTCTTGGCACCACTTCTGTAGAAACTACTGTCGTGGAAACCACATATGCAGGACCCACTTCTGCAGAAACCTCTGCCCTTGCCACCACTTCTGCAGAAACTACTACCCTTGAAGCCACTTCTGTAGAAACTACTACCCTGGGCACCTCTTCTGTAGAAAGTCCTGCCCTGGAAACAACTTCTGCATCACCCACTTCTGCAGAAACTACTACCCTTGGCACCACTTCTGTAGAAACTACTGAGTCTAACACTCTGGGCACCACTTCTACAGAAACGACTACCCTTGGCGCCACCTCTGTAGAAACGAATATTCTGGAAACCACTTCTACAGAAACTACTACCCTGGGCACAACTTCTGCAGTAACTACTACCCTTGGCACTACTTCTGTGGAAACGACCACCATGGAAACCACTTCTACAGCACCCACTTCTGCAGAAACTACTACCCTTGAATCCACGTCTGTAGAAACTAATATTCTGGAAACCACATATGCAGTACCCACTTCTGCAGAAACTACTACCCTTGGCAACGCTTTTGTAGAAAGTCCTGCCCTGGATGCCCCTTCTGCATCACCCACTTCTGCTGAAACTACTACCCTGGGCACAACTTCTGCAGAAACTTCTACCCTTGAATCCACTTCTGCAGAAACTACTACCCTTCACACCACTTCTGTTGAATCTACCACTCTGGGGACCACTTCGGCTGAAACTAGTACCTCTGGCACCATTTCTGTAGAATCTACCACACTGGGCACCCCTTCTACAGAAACTACTACCCTTGGCACCTCTTCTGTAGATATTACTACCCTGGGAACTACTTCTATAGAAACTACAACCCTGGAAACCACTTCTGCAGCCCCCACTTTTGCAGAAACTACTACCCTAATCACCACTTCTGTAAAAACTACTATTCTGGAAACCGCATATGCAGGACCCACTTCTGCAGAAACTACTACCCTTGGCACCACTTCTGTAGAAACTAGTACTCTTGGCACTACTTCTTTAGAAACTACATCCCTGAAAACCACTTCTGCAGAATCTACTACCCTTGAATCCACTTCTGTAGAAACTAGTTCCCTTGGCACCACTTCTTTTGAATCTACCACTCTGGGCACCATTTCTGCAGAAACTAGTACCTCTGGAAGCATTTCTGTAGAGTCTAACACTCTGGGCACCACTTCTACAGAAACGACTACCCTTGGCGCCACCTCTGTAGAAACGAATATTCTGGAAACCACTTCTACAGAAACTACTACCCTGGGCACAATTTCTGCAGTAACTACTACCCTTGGCACTACTTCTGTGGAAACGACCACCATGGAAACCACTTCTGCATCACCCACTTCTGCAGAAACTACTACCCTTGACACCACTTCTGTTGAATCTACCACTCTGGGGACCACTTCGGCTGAAACTAGTACCTCTGGCACCATTTCTGTAGAATCTACCACACTGGGCACCCCTTCTACAGAAACTACTACCCTTGGCACCACTTCTTTTGAATCTACCACTCTGGGCACCACTTCTGCAGAAACTAGTACGTCTGGCACCATTTCTGTAGAATCTAGCACCCTGGGCACCTTTTCTACAGAAACTACTACCCTTGGCACCACTTCTGTAGAAACTACTACCCTTGAATCCACTTCTGTAGAAACTACTAACCTTAGCACCACTTCTGCAGAGACTATCCTTGGCACCTCTTCTTCAGAAACTAGTACCCTTGGCACCACTTCTTTTGAATCTACCACTCTGGGCACCACTTCTGCAGAAACTAGTACGTCTGGCACCATTTCTGTAGAATCTAGCACCCTGGGCACCTTTTCTACAGAAACTACTACCCTTGGCACCACTTCTGTAGAAACTACTACTCTGGAAGCCACTTCTACAGGACCCACTTCTGCAGAAACTACTACCCTGGGCACTACTTCTATAGAAACCACTATCCTGGAAACCATATATGCAGGACCCACTTCTGCAGAATCTACTACCCTTGGCCCTACTTCTATAGAAACTACAACCCTGAAAACCACTTCTACAGAAACTACTACCCTGGAAACCACATATGCAGGACCCACTTCTGCAGAAACTACTACCCTTGGCACCACTTCTGTAGAAACTACTATCCTGGAAACCACATATGCAGGAACCACTTCTGCAGAATCTACTGCCCTTGGCACTACTTCTATAGAAACTACAACCCTGAAAACCACTTCTACAGAAACTACTACCCTGGAAACCACATATGCAGGACCCACTTTTGCAGAAACTACTAAAATTGGTGCCACTTCTGCAGGACCCACTTCTGCAGAAACTACTACTCTTGAAACCACTTCTGTAGAAACTACTATCCTGGAAACCACATATGCAGGAACCACTTCTGCAGAATCTAGTACGCTTGGCACCACTTCTGTAGAAACTATCCTGGAAACCACATTTGCAGGACCCACTTCTGCAGAAACTACTAACCTAGATTCCACGTCTGTAGAAACTACTACTCTGGGCACTACTATAGAAACTACAAACCTGGAAACAACTTCTGCAGCACTCACTAATGCAGAAACTACTTCCCTTGAAGCCACTTCTGTAGAAACTACTACCCTGGAAGACACTTCTACAGTACCCACTTCTGCAGAAACTACTACCCTTGGCACCACGTTTGTAGAAACTACTACCCTGGGCTCCTCTTCTGTAAAAAGTACTAAACTGGAAACCACTTCTGCAGAATCTAGTACCCTTGGCACCACTTCTGTAGAAACTACTATCCTGGAAACCACATATGCAGGACCCACTTCTGCAAAAACTACTACCTTTGCCACAACATCTGCAGAAACTACTATCCTGGAAACCATATATGCAGAACCCACTTCTGCAGAAACTACTACCCATGGCACCGCTTTTGTAGAAAGTATTACCCTGGAAACCACTTCTGCAAAAACTAGTACCCTTGAAACAACTTCTGCAGGACCCACTTCTGAAGTTACTACTAACCTTGGCACCACTTCTGCAGAAACTACTACCTTTAAAACCACTTCTGCAGGACCCACTTCTGAAGTTACTACTAACCTTGGCACCACTTCTACAGAAACTACTACCCTTGGAACCTATTCTGTAGAAACTACTACCCTTGAAACCACTTCTGTAAAAACTACTACTCTGGAATCCACTTCTACAGGACCCACTTTTGGAGAAACCTCTACCCTGGGCAAAACATCTGCAGTAACTACTACCTTTGGCACCACTTTTGTAGAAACTACTGGTCTTGAAACCACTTCTGCAGATCCCAGCTCTGCAGAAACTTCTACCCTTGGCACCACTTCTGCAGAAACAAGTACTCTTGGAACCTTTTCTGTAGAAACTACTACTCTGGAATCTACTTCTGCAGGACCCACTCCTGCAGAAACTACCATGGGCACAACTTCTGCAGAATCTACCACTCTGGGCACCACTTCTGCAGAAACTACTACCCTGGGAACCACTTCTGTAGAAACTACTGCCCTTGAAACTTCTTCTGCAGGACCCACTTCTGCAGAAAATACCATGGGCACAACTTCTGCAGAATCTACCACTCTAGTCACCACTTCTGCAGAAACTACTTCCCTGGAAACCACTTCTGCAGGACCCAATTCTGCAGAAACTAGTATTCTTGGCACCACTTCTGCAGAAACTAGTACCCTTGGAGACTTTTCTGTAGAAACTACTAGCATTGAAACCACTTTTGTAGAAACTACTACCCTGGAAACCACTTCTGCAGAAAGTACTACCCTTGGCACCACTTCTGTAGGAACTACTACCCTTGAAACCACTTTTGTAGAAACTACTACCCTGGAAACCACTTTTGCAGAAACTACTACTCTTAGCACTACTTCTGCAGAAAGTACTACCCTTGGCACCACTTCTGTAGGAACTACTACCCTTGAAACCACTTTTGCAGAAACTACTACTCTTAGCACTACTTCTGCAGAAAGTACTACCCTTGGCACCACTTCTGCAAAAACTTCTACCTTTGGTACCACTTCTGTAGAAAGTACTACCTTTGAAACCACTTTTGCAGAAACTACTTCCCTGGGCACAACCTCTGCAGAAACTACTACCCTTGGCATTACTACTGTAGAAAGTACTACCCTTGGCACCACTTCTGCAAAAACTAGTACCCTTGGAACCTTTCCTGTAGAAACTACTACCCTTGTCGCAACTTCTGCAGGGCCCACTTCTGCAGAAACTAGAACCCTTGAAACCAGTATTTTACAAACTACTACCCTTGTCGCAACTTCTGCAGGGCCCACTTCTGCAGAAACTACTACAATTGGTACAACTTCTGTAGAAAGTACTACCTTTAAAACCACTTCTGTAGAAACTACTACTCTGGAATCCACTTCTGCAGGACCCACTTTTGGAGAAACCTCTACCCTGGGCAAAACGTCTGCAGTAACTACTACCTTTGGCACCACTTCTGTAGAATTTACCACTCTGGGCTATTACCCTGGAAACCACTTCTGCAGGACTCACTTCTGCAGAAACTACTAGCCTGGGCAAAACTTCTGTAGAAACTACTACCTTTGAATCCACTAATGTAGAAACTACTACCCTGGAAAACACTTCTGCAGAAACTAGTAGCCTTGGAACCTTTTCTGTTGAAACTACTAGTTTCTGCAGAAGTTATGCCCAGGGTTGTACTCTTGGCAGCACTTCTGTAGAATCTATAACTCTGGGCAACACTTCTGCAGAAACTACTTCCCTTGGTAATATTTCTACAGAAGCTACTACCGTTGGCGCCTCTTCTGTAGAAACTACTACCCTTGGCACCACTTCTGTAGAAACTACTACCCTGGAAACCACTTCTGCAGGACCCACTTCTGCAGAAACTACTACCCTGGAAACCACTTCTGCAGGACCCACTTCTGCAGAAACTACTACCCTTGGCACCACTTCTGTAGAAACTACTACCCTTGGCATTACTACTGTAGAATCTACAACCCTGGGCACCACTTCTGCAGAAAGTACTACCCTGGAAACCACTTATGCAGAAACTACTACCCTGGGCATAACGTCTGCAGAAACTAGTACTCTTGGCAGCACTTCTACAGAAACTACTACCGTTGACACCTCTTCTGTAGAAAATACAACTCTGGGCACCACTTCTGCAGAAACTACTATCCTGGGCACTGCTTCTGTAGAAACTACCATGGAAACCACTTCTGCAGGATCCACTTCTGCAGAATCTAGTACCCTTGGCACCACTTCTGCAGAAATTAGTACCCTTGTAACCACTATTTTACAAACTACTACCCTTGTTGCAACTTCTGCAGGGCCCACTTCTGCAGAAACTACTACCCTGGAAACCACTTCTGCAGGACCCACTTCTGCAGAAACTACTAGCCTGGGCAAAACTTCTGTAGAAACTAGTACCCTTGGAACCTTTTCTGTTGAAACTACTACCCTGGGCATAACTTCTGCAGAAACTACCATGGAAACCACTTCTGCAGGATCCACTTCTGCAGAATCTAGTACCCTTGGCACCACTTCTGCAGAAACTAGTACCCTTGGAACCTTTTCTGTTGAAACTACTACCCTGGGTATAAATTCTGCAGAAACTAGTACTCTTGGCAGCACTTCTGTAGACACTAGTATCCTTGAAACCACTTTTGCAGAAACTACTTCCCTGGGCACAACCTCTGCAAAAACTAGTACCCTTGGCATTACTACTGTAGAAAGTACTACCCTTGGCACCACTTCTGCAAAAACTAGTACCCTTGGAACCTTTCCTGTAGAAACTACTACCCTTGTCGCAACTTCTGCAGGGCCCACTTCTGCAGAAACTACTACCCTGGAAACCACTTCTGCAGAAACTACTATCCTGGGCAAAATTTCTGCAGAAACTAGTGCCTTTGGCACCACTATTATAGAAACTACTACCCTGGAAACCACTTCTGCAGGTCCCAGTTCAACAGAAACTACCCTGCTCACCACTTCTGCAGAAACTACTACCCTTGGCATTACTACTGTAGAATCTACAACCCTGGGCACCACTTCTGCAGAAACTAGTACCCTTGGAACCTTTTCTGTTGAAACTACTACCCTGGGTATAAATTCTGCAGAAACTAGTACTCTTGGCAGCACTTCTGTAGACACTAGTATCCTTGAAACCACTTTTGCAGAAACTACTTCCCTGGGCACAACCTCTGCAAAAACTAGTACTAAAACTAGACCCACTTCTGCAGAAACTACTAGCCTGGGAAAAACTTCTGTAGAAACTAATACCTTTGGCACAACTTCTGCAGAAACTACTAGCCTGGGAAAAACCTCTGTAGAAACTAATACCTTTGGCACAACTTCTGCAGAAACTAGTACACTTGGCAACACTTCTACAGAAACTAGTACCCTTGGCACCACTTAGCACCACTTCTGCAGAAACTACTACCCTTGGCACCACTTCTGCAGAAACTAATACCCTTGAAACCACTTCTGCAGAAACTACTACCCTTGTCGCAACTTCTTCAGGTCCCACTTCTGCAGAAACTACTACCCTTGGCATTACTACTGTAGAATCTACAATCCTGGGCACCACTTCTGCAGACACTAGTACCCTTGAAACCACTATTTTACAAACTACTAGCCTTGTCGCAACTTCTCCATGGCCCACTTCTGCAGAAACTTCTACCCTGGAAACCACTTCTGCAGGACCCACTTCTGCAGAAACTACTAGCCTGGGAAAAACCTCTGTAGAAACTAATACCTTTGGCACAACTTCTGCAGAAACTAGTACACTTGGCAACACTTCTACAGAAACTAGTACCCTTGACACCACTTCTGCAGAAACTAGTATCATTGGCACCACTTATGTAGAAACTACTACCCTAGTAACAACTTCTGCAGGACCCACGTCTGCAGAAACTAGCACCCTTGGCAGCACTTCTGTAGAATCTATAACTCTGGGCACCACTTCTGCAGAAACTAATACCCTTGAAACCACTTCTGCAGAAACTACTACCCTTGTCGCAACTTCTTCAGGTCCCACTTCTGCAGAAACCACTTCCCTTGGCACCACTTCTACAGAAACTACTACCGTTGACACCACTTCTGCAGAAACTACTACCTTTGTCACAACTTATGCAGAAATTACTATCCTGGGCACTGCTTCTGTAGAAACTACCATGGAAACCACTTCTGCAGGACCCACTTCTGCAGAATCTAGTACCCTTGGCACCACTTCTGTAGAAACTAGTACCCTTGAAACCACTTTTGCAGAAACGACTACCCTTGGCACCACTTCTGTAGAAATTACTACTCTGGGCACAACTTCTACAGAAGCTTCTACCCTTGGCACTACATCTGTTAAATCTACCACTCTGGGCACCACTTCTGCAAAAATTAGTACCCTTGGCACCACTTCTGTAGAATCTACAACCCTGGGCACAAGTTCTGTAGAAACTACTACCCTTGGCATTACTACTGTAGAAAATACTACTCTGGAATCTGCTTCTGCAGGACCCAGTTTTGTTGAATATTTCACTCTAGGCACCACTTCTGCAAAAACTAGTACCCTTGGAACCACTTCTGTAGAATCTACAACCCTGGGCACCACTTCTGCAGAAACTACTACCCTGGAAGCCACTTTTGCAGGACCCACTTCTGGAGAAACTGCTATCCTGGGCAAAATTTCTGCAGAAACTACTGCCTTTGGCACCACTTCTGCAGGTCCCAGTTCTGCAGAAGCTACCCTGCTCCCCACTTCTGCAGAAACTACACTGCTCGCCACTTCTGCAGAAACTTCTACTCTTGGAACCACTTCTGCAGAAACTTCTATCCTTCGAACCACTTCTGTAGAAACTACTACCCTGGGCACAACTTCTGCAGAAACTACTACCCTTGGAACCTTTTCTGTTCAAACTACTACCCTTGTCGCAACTTCTGCAGGGCCCACTTCTGCAGAAACTACTACCCTTGGCACCACTTCTGCAGAAATTACTACCCTGGAAGCCACTTCTGCAGGACCCATTTCTGCAGAAACTAGTACCCTTGGCACCATTTCTGCAGAAATTACTATGCTGGAAACCACTTTTGCAGGACCCACTTCTGCAGAAACAACCCTGCTCACCACTTCTGCAGAAACTTCTACCCTTGGCACTACATCTGTAGAAGCTACTACCCTGGGCACAATTTCTGCAGAAACTATTATGCTTGGCATTACTAATGTAGAATCTACAGCCCTCGGCACCACTTCTGCAGAAACTTCTACCCTTGGAAACTTTTCTGTAGAAACTACTACCCTGGGCACAATTTCTGCAGAAACTATTATGTTTGGCATTACTAATGTAGAATCTACAGCCCTCGGCACCACTTCTGCAGAAACTAGTACCCTTGGAAACTTTTCTGTAGAAACTACTAGCATTGAAACCACTTCTGCAGAAACTACTACTTTTGGCACCACTTCTGTAAAATCTACTATCCTGGGCACAACTTTTGCTGAATCTACAATCCTTGGTACCACTTCTGTAGAAACTACTACCCTTGAAACTACTTCTGCAGAAACTGTACTGGGCACAACTTCTGCAGAAACTACTACTCTGGGCACCACTTCTGCAATACCAATTTCTGCAGAAGCTAGTACCCTTGGCACCACTTCTGTAGAAACTACTACCCTTGAAACCACTTCTGCAGAAATTAGTACCCTTGGCACCACTTCTGCAGAAAGTACTACCCTTGGCACCACTTCTGTTGAAACAACCCTGCTCACCACTTCTGTAGAAACTACTACCCTCAGCACAACTTCTGCAGAAACCACTAACATTGGCACCACTTCTGTAGAATCTACGACTCTGGGCACAGCCTCTGTAGAAACTACTACCCTGGGCACAACTTCTGCAGAAACTACTACCCTTGGCACCACTTCTGCAGACAGTAGTACCCTTGGCACCACTTCTTTAGAAATTACTACCTTGGAAGGCACTTCTGCAGGATCCACTTCGGCAGAAACCACTACCCTTGGCACCACTTCTCCAGAAACTACTGCCCTTGGCACCTCTTCTGCAGAAATTACTACCCTGCACACAGCTTCTAAAGAAACTAAAAATATTGGCACCACTTCTGCAGAAACTAGTACCTTTGAAACCACTAATTTACAAACTACTACCCTTGTTGCAACTTCAGGGCCCACATCTTCAGAAACTACTACCCTTGGTACCACTTCTGCAGAAACTACTACCCTTGAAACAACTTTTGCAGGACCCACTTCTGGAGAAACTACTGTCCTGGGCAAAATTTCTGCAGAAACTACTACCTTTGGTCTGCAAAAACTAGTACCCTTGAAACCACTTCTTTACAAACTAATACCCTCGTCGCAACTTCTGCAGGACCCACTTCTGCAGAAACTAGTACCCTTGAAACCACTTCTTTACAAACTAATACCCTCGTCGCAACTTCTGCAGGACCCACTTCTGCAGAAACTACTACCTTTGGCACAACTTCTGCAGAAACTACTTTTGGCACCACTTCTGTAGAAACTACTACTCTTGGCACCTCTTCTGTAGAATCTACAACTTTGGGCATAACTTCTGCAGAAACTAGTACCCTTGAAACCACTTCTTTACAAACTAATACCCTCGTCGCAACTTCTGCAGGACCCACTTCTGAAGTGACTACTACCCTTGGCACCACTTCTCTTGAATCTACCACTCTGGGCACAACTTCTGCAGAAACTGCTACCCTTGGTAGCACTTCTGTAGAATTTAACACTCTGGGAACGACTTATGCTGAAATTACTACCCTTGGAACCACTTCTGTAGAAACTACTACTATGGAATCCACTTCTGCAGGACCCACTT